AACACTTATTGAGGTTTGAGACTTAACTTAAAGTTGCTAGATTTTAACTTTGTATTGGCTTCTTGAAAAAATCATCAAAGATACCAGCGGCTCTTTTCACAAAAAATCTGAAGAGTAAAAATACTCGTAAGTCATACACATTTCAGTATAACTTACGATCAATTTTAATCGTAAGATTTTTTGTGAAAAGAGTCGCAGGCTTGTAATTATGTACGCCAGACGCGCTTCTACATAAGACCAAGTAGTGACGCTCAAATCAAAACAGTTGGAAGCACAATTCAAATACGAAGTTGAAGAGCATTAAAACCTGAAGTTCCAAACAAATGTGCCAAATAAGGTTAAGGGAACCTATACCTGGGGTAGAAAAGAATTAGCGTTAAGTTTGGAAACATGAAGAAAATGACCAATTGAAAATAACTTTCGAAAGTTTGAGAATAACATAAACTTTGAAAAGTGCTTAATTTGATAATGATACTTCTTTGCAGTTGTATGTGCTATAGTACATTGTGTATTAGTAACAGCACATATTAAAATATAAATACTCGACTCGTCATTATACATGTCTTATTGTTATTCTCGCTCCTGTCTTACATTGAAGGGAGAAAATGTAATTTATTTAATATAACTTTAATGGAAATACTATAATATTTGCTTCGAACTTTTAAAATGTGGCTTCGTGATCATGGTTTGAGGGTCTTACATCTACGATTCTTGGTCTTTTACAACATACCAATTTGAAGTGTAATCAACAAACTACTGTGGAATATATTGTTATTCGTTCTATGTGCATTTAGTGGTACAGGTGAACCACGAATTTAAATGTTCAACGAATTGCAAATTATTTTTACAAGGTTATATAACTTTGGCAAAACCACGAAATTACATATGCAGGTTTTTTGCAATCCATGAAAATAAATGAATTTACAGTAAAAATATCAAAAAAGTGTCGAGTTAGATGAGAAATGATGGGAACGTTACTTCTGAAAATGTAACCTTGCTTTTTGTGTGAATAACCGTCGTTACTTGTGTCTAAAGGGTTTCGGTGATTATGGGGAAAAATAAGACGCAACAGTAGGTTACCGATGTTCAAATCTCATAAATCTATTAAGAAAATACAATCACAATCAAGGTAAAGAAAAAAACTGACGGGATCGCATGGACATCAAAGGGAGAGAGACAGGGTGTGCCAACAGGAGAAAATGATCGGCTAACATGGGATTGATTTCAATGTGTATTTCCCATTATCATATACAATTGGCTATCTGAAATAATGGATACACACACAACGACACACACGCGTGCCCACAAAGAACAATAAGTTTGTTTTCCACAAACCACGTGAAAGAAATAAAAATAAGCCAAAGACTACTTTACAATCAAAACCAAGTACTCGTGTGTTTATGTCAATAGAAACATAGTCCTTGACAGTAAGCAGAAGTGGTGTTCAAGTGATGATACACTGAAATCAGATCTTGAAAAACGACAAACAAAAAAAGCTCATCAAAGATACCAGGCTTATAATTTTGTACAGTAGATGCGCAATTCATTTACAAAAGACTCGTCACTGACGCTCGAATAATAAAAATAAATGATTGAAAGTGATTTAAAATTTATAACACAAAAGACATTATTTAATGGTGCAGCTATACGGTACCTATATTATCATGAATAAAATCTAAGAATCAATTTTGTAATACATTTGCAACAGAACTGCTTCCGCCAAATTATTATCTTATTTGATGTCTTTTCTTATTGATTGCAATTTTTTGATCGTTTGATCATAACTAAAATGTTCATTTACTGAAATTGGACCACATACCTCGTGGTTAACAAATTTACAACTGTCATACTTTTGAATAATATTGTTTGCTTTTCCATTCTCAGCAAACTCGATCAAACTGCTTATGTCTTTTGATTCTATGTTATCCCACTTTGCTATATCAAAAAGAAAATCACCAACTGCTTCATAATTGCCAAAGTATGCAGCAAAATCTAATGCCGACATATTTACCTCCTGGTTCCGACTAAGAATACTGTTTTTTCCAGAAAAGGTAATGTAGTTGCTAGCTGAATGACGAAGCGTCTTCGAAATTCGCACTATTAATGGATTTTCTCTATGGTACCACCAAAGAATACAGTAATGTAAAATAGTATTTCCATGCTCATCAACAACAGTCTTTAAAATTCCCTCTAACGAACTGTAGTGACCCTTTTTCAAGAAACATTTATCTATTTCAGAAAGAAGCTTCATTTTGTCTGATATTTGAAAAACAATAATCGACCATGCCAAAGCAAAGTCAGTTGGAGTATAAATAACTAAATCAAGACTTGAACAATTCAATGTTAACCTTTTTATCACCAAAATCATCAGTTTTACTCGGTTTTCTGTAGTCAAATCTTTCAAACGTTTGTCTAAATATGTCATCGTTTTTTGCAAGACGGTTGAAAATCTATAACTTTCAATATATTCGCATATTAGTTCAGATTTTTGCTCACTATGCAAACAAGCCTCTGCAAAACGCTTAGCTATTATATCAAATCCACATCTCAGTTTGTTCTTGTCTACAATTAGAACAGTTTCCTCCTCATTTATCTTCACGTATGTTGAAGGTCTTAAAACATCAAGAAGAGCTTTTAAGTCGCAATTTTGTAAGACTAGTTTTAGACATTCAACATCTATATAAGCATATGACAATAAGACTGCCTGATAGATAACAGGACGAAGAAAATAGTCTCCACTTTCATTACATTGTAAATAAGGCAAATGCATACTTTGGCAAGCGCTTTTTATGGACGATTCTTCCGAGCATTTCTGTTTAAAAACATACCTGCATATTCCGTTGATTTTTTTCGTATCTATATCGTTAAGTTGTAATCCATTGTCGGGGTTTATGAGGATATATACTAAAGTACAATATTTGACTCTGTCTGTTATATTGTTCCTACCTTTGGTGCGAAGTTCGTTGATTTTGTCAATTAAACCTTGCTGTGGTAGTCTAAAAAATCTGGAACCAAGTTCAAAATAGCTGTCTGTGCTACAGAAAGCTGCACATTGAATTGGAAAGGCAGCCACTGTTTGTGCAGTTATTATTTTCTTGATTTCTGTTTCATTTAATTCCCTTTTATTTAAATCTAAGTGAAACAGTAAAATCTTTTCTCTGTCTTCTCTACTGAATGAATCGTCTAGGTCAAGGTTTACAATGTTAGATTCGGTCCAAATTCCAGCCGACTTTAATTTTTCACATTCTGTACTATTAGCTGAATTTACAGTGACTATCGCTTTACACTTGCTTGCCATTTGAATATTTTTTATAGCATTAATAATGCTTTGAGGCCATATTTTTTCTTCCGCACACACGTCAAACCATTCTTCCAAAACAATAACGTATTTTGTAAAAAAATCTTTAATGGCGTTGAGGAGATGAACGTTTGTGTTATCCAGTACTAGAACAGTGTAGTTATTATTTCTGTACATTGTTGATAATTGCATGGCCAAAGAGGTTTTCCCTGAACCGTGTTCTCCTTTTATAATTAAAATATTATTATTTTTAAATGCAATCTTAGCTTGTTTAAAAGCCTCTGTGTCCGTTACACATTGTAAAATGCTTGTATCTGAAAAAATAATATCAAATTCACGACCAAATTCATGACAATTAATTTTAATATATGTAAATGAAAAACTTCAAAAATATTAATTTTTGCTAACTAGTATAGTATTAAAAGAAAATGTGGTCAGTACAATAATATAAAATATCCTTTTCCAATCTCTTAGACAAGTTAACGACGATTAATTCTGTGAAACTGACATTATCAAGATGCTTGATTTCTTGATTGACAACATATTTGTTACGTTTGGAGGACGTGTTTTTCAACAGACTGTCGGAATTCCAATGGGAACCAATTGTGCCCCTCTTCTTGCCGACTTGTTTCTTTATTATTATGAGGCTGACTTCATACAGGAACGTCTTAGGAAGAAAGATAAGAAGTTAGCAATATCCTTGAACTCTACGTTCCGCTATATAGATGATGTTCTCTCACTAAATAATACAAAATTTGGTGACTACAATGTATGTTGAACGAATTTATCCCATCGAACTAGAGATAAAGGATACTACAGATACAGTTAAGTCTGCCTCATATCTTGACTTACATCTAGAAATTGACAATAAGGGTCGGTTGAAAACAAAACTTTACAACAAAAGAGATGATTTCAGCTTCCCAATTGGGAACTTTCCATTTCTATGTAGCAACATTCCAGCTGCATACGGAGTATATATCTCCCAATTGATACGATATTCCCGGGCTTGTGTTTCCTATCATGATTTCCTTGATAGAGGATTGCTGCTCACAAGGAAGCTATTAAACCAAGAGTTCCAAATGGGGAAGTTGAAATCATCCCTTCGTAAATTTTACGGACGCCATCACGAGTTGGTTGACCGTTATGGAATAACCGTTTCACAGATGATATCGGATATGTTCCTTATGTCGTAACTACAATACCCTCCCTTTTCACGAATATAACTTACCGAATTAGACTATTTACCGGATTTGTAATAACATAAGCAACACGACGGGTGCCACATGTGGAGCAGGATCTGCTTACCCTTCCGGAGAATCCTGAGATCACCCCCAGTTTTTGGTGGGGTTCGTGTTGCTTAGTCTTTGGTTTTCTATGTTGTGTCATCTGTACTATTATTTGTCTGTTTGTCTTTTTATTTTTGGCTATGGCGTTGTCAGTTTGTTTTCAATCTATGAGTTTGACTGTCCCTCTGGTATCTTTTTGAATCATTGGCTGGCAGTAAAGTACGATAATTTCCTTTGTTTTGAATAACACAAAACACATATTTAATCTAAAACCATTCCCCCATCTTAATTTGTAATAAACAAAAAATGAACTGTGTTTCATGTTGAATATTGTTACCATGGTGATTGGTACTTGTAAAACCGTGCACAAAATTTACAACAACTGGATAAAAGCAATGTGAAATATATTGCCTTACCTATTATCTGGGACAGATCAAATTTCTCCTCAACTGCAAAAACTAATACCCCAAACCATACTGAAACATTAGCAAGTGAGTTATAAATTTAGATTGTCAAGAATTTCGTCTGGTTATACGAAAAAAAAAACACACAAAGAGAATTTTTTTTATTATTATTTATCCCCTAATCTTTCGTAATTTGTAGCAAACAAACTCAAGGATATTTTTTTCGGAAATTGATCTCTAATCGCTCTCTGATTTTTCACATATTCAACTTGTGAAGAAGAAAACATTAAAACTTCGGCGATGATTGTCATTTGGCTACTGTCTGCAACTGTACAGGAAAATATAATAGAATTGGTTATTCCTGTTATTAAGCAAAACATTTTGCTACACAAAAAAATGTTTGTAATAAAGTATTGGTAGTCGTATTTTTGTTTATATATATATATAGCAAGTGCAATTATTAAAAGAATAAAAATAAAATACAGTATAATCCAGAATCATACTTTCGTACTTTATTTGGCCTTTTAATTATTTTTTTGATTCGAGTGTCACTGATTAATCTTTTGTAGACGACACTAGCGTGTCTGCCGTACACTATTTTAATCCTGGTATCTGTGATGAGTTTATTTCCATAATTTTATTAATATCATGGATTCTACTAGAAATTCTGGACATTCTAATTTTTACTCGTAATAATAAGTATTCTGATTTTTACTGGATTTCGGTTAGTGAAAATCAGAATTTCATTTTCTATTAGTAGTTTTGGAGTTCCAATTTGTATTAAGAGGATCATGGATCCTACTGAATCAAAATTCGAACTGTAACATAATAAACAAATACCAAAATTGACTGTATTATTTGGAATATGACTCAACTTACCACTAAAGGTAGCAATCATAACAACGATTGCACCAAATAATACTCTTCCAACAAGAAATCTATCAACTACAAAATAATTAAAAAAAATAATGGTACTATAACATAATTACATTACAATAAAACGATAAAGAGATTCATAATCACCAACTTAAATGGTAATATATTATAAAAAGAAGCGAAAGATACCAATGAATATTCAAAACTCACAAGTCCAACAAACACTATTTAGAAAAGTAAAGACTTCAGCAATACAAACTCCACAAAAATACCGGTGATGACCTAAGGTAAGGGTAAGCAGTTCCTGTTCCACACAAGTCACCCGTTGCGTATGCAAGTACAAATCCGGTGATGTCATAATCTAAGATTGGATTGAGGTTAACACAATTGGAACATTCCGAGGTCACCTGTGACATATATATATTCAACAAACTTGTAATGGTGTCCGTAATACTTTCGAAGGGATAACTTCAACTTTACCACATGTAACCCTTGTTTCAATGCTTTCCTGTAAGCTGCAACCTTTTACTGAGGAAATCATGATAGGAAACGCAAAAACTGGAACATCGCATCAATCAACTAGAAAATATATACTCCATATGCAGGCGCTGCTAGAATGTTGCCGCATAGAAATGGGAAGTTCACAATTGGGAAGCTGAAATCGTCCCTTTTTCGTAATGATTTCATCTCCTTCGACTCCTATTATCAATTTCTAAATGCACTTCAACATTTTGAAGATTTAAGGCAGACTTTAGATTAATATGGTAACCAAACTATATATTATTTAGTAATATGCCATCATCTATACTGCGGATCGTGCAGTTTTGTTTATTCTTCCTAAAAAGCTCCTGTATGAAAGTCTGCCTCAAATGAATAAAAGAACAAGTCAGCAAATCGAGAAACACATTTGGTTGATATAGGAATGCCAATTAATTTTTTTTAAAGAATGTGTCTTTCAAATTAAGACATAGGTTGTCAATAAAAAAAATCAAGCATCTTGGTGATGTCAGCTTCACAGAATTTCGTGTTTGAATCAGAGTTGTAATTTACAGAACGTGATTTACCCTTGTTGCCCATTCTTTTTTTATGGGACAAAATTGGACTAATTCTAAAAGAGCGATTTTGTCGGATTTTCCGGAAAACGTGTGGCTTTAACTGAAAGTGATATAGTTAGAATGTGTAGGTCGTTCTCACGCATGCATATAAGCTCTTACAAGGCTTAGCATAAACTTTTATATATTATGTCGTCACGTGACAATGCAGCAATGTTATCTTTTTCATGTCAATCAACGTCAATTTATCAATGAAATTCATCCGACATCATTTATACAGCAAAATAACTATCGCAACGTTTTGATCGCTTAAAAAATAAAATTTTCAAACATAAGTTCATAGTTAACGCCCGCAACAAACCCCCCCCCCCCCCCCCCCCCCCCCCCCCCCAAAAAAACCAACAACAACATATTGTTAAGAAAAATAGCCAATAAAAGAATGATGGCATTTGATTTTTTAATACATACTTCATCATTTCGAATATCAACTCGCCCTATCAAATTCGCTTAATATTCTTGCTTATATCAACAACAAAAAATATGCCACTATGCTATATATAACACAATCGTCTTGTCTGTTTTTACAAGATAATCTTCTGCATGATGCAAAGGGCGAAGGTATCCAATAACAATATCATTCACAACTAATTTTGAATTAGATTAACAGATGTGTGTACTTGTATCTGATTTAGATCAAATGTGTACGAAATGAGGACGTAATTTAAGCAGAGCTATTTAAGTCACAACGCAAATTTTAATACGTTCACTAGGGCAATGTGTTGCACGTAATTCGTGCACTCTCGGGAGCAACGTGTGTTACAACTTCGGAACGTGCTTTGTGTTCAAAACCTGTAAACTCTATCAATTAGTAATGAAATTCTCTGAATCACATATAGCCAATAATTTCGGTTGAAATTGAAGCATTTAGTCATAGACACAGTACAACGTAAACTATGTTTGGCAGAAATGACAACTATGAAATAACTGATGAGAGATTTTCATCACCAACAGGCTCTGAATATAAGAATTCTCTTACACACGCAATACATTTTTGTCTGATATAATTTAAAGATTGCCTCGTGTTTGAATCCTGCATTTGAATATTCAAATTTAGGCATATTCTATTTTATTGGTTAAAACATATTTTTGGGTTCTTTGAACAGACAAGTTAAGGGATATCATTTACCCGTTTCACAGATGATAGTGGATATGTTCCTAATGTCGTAACTACAATCCCGTCACCCTTTTCACGAATGTGACCTACCGAATTAGACTTGTTACCGGGTTTGTACTAACATGAGCAACACGACGGGTGTCACATGTGGAGAAGGATCTGCTTACCCTTCCGGAGCACCTGAGATCACCCCCAGTTTTTGGTGGGGTTCGTGTTGCTTAGTCTTTAGTTTTCTATGTAGTGTTTTGTGTGCTATTTATTGTTTGTCTGTTGTCTTTCTTTTTTAACCATGGCGTTGTCAGTTTATTTTCGATTTATGAGTTTGAATGTCCCTCTGGTATCTTTCGCCCCTCTTTTACATGTATTCTGTTTGAACAACGTTGACAACTTCAAACGAGCGAATAGTTGCAACGCGTCGCTCTAACAAAAACGACAAAACTGTTACACGTCGTTCTAGAGTGTTACACGTTGTTTTTGTTAGCATGAATTAACTGTCACGCATCGATTGCTCTGGGAATTGCGAATCGACAGCAACGCATTGCTCTAGCGAACGTGTCAAAAATTGCATTGCAACTCGAATGGCAATGGAAAGTCATTTGTCAACTTACTTGGTTGCCTAATTATGTTATTGTTGTAGCTATTTGATGTCAGTTCAACGTTCGTGTGATTCCTATGAACAGTACCGTCTTCACTTTAAATAGATATAATACATAAAATTCATTTAGATTAAAAAGTTATTTAACATAAAAAGAAGGGAGAAAACAACATATAAACCATAAAAACATTAAAAAAAACTTAAGGAAACAATGAAACAAATACATTGTTAATTTTGATATGTAGGTTCAGTTTAAATTTAATTTTAAGATAAATACGAAGAAGGTACATATGAATGATACTTTCTTTTGGCCTCTTATTTTTGTTTTAATCTGTGAAATATTTGCACCCGTTACATTTTCCCAAAAAAAATGTCAGACATCAGCATTTATATTTTTGAGTTCTGTCTTACATATTTGCATAAGGCTATCAAACTTCATACCTGTAAATGCAAAACTACAACACCAAAATATCCTTACTTTGAGACCTTTCTTACATTTAAGTGTTAGCCGAGGAATTATCCGAAATGATATATTTATTTTGTTAATGGGTGTAAAATGTGGGCAAAGCCGTTACGGGCGTAAATTTTTATATGATTTGTTGGAAAAAACTGTGTTGAAAATCATCTTTTGTGGATTAAATGTAAATTTGCATGACAACATAGTGACATCAAATCATTATAGAAACAAGAATGTATAATTCGAACAAACTGAAACTGGAATAGTTATTATGATTTTTACTGTCTTTCCGTTCGTTTATATTATTTACTCCCCCCTAAATCTTATCGCGGCTTTGTATCGTTGCAAAAGAATAGACTCAACGATATTTACTTGTTTTTAGTTGACGACATAATGATTTAATCTAAACAGTTTTTAAGGTTAACTTGAAAAACTTCAAAAGGAATATTGTAGAAACCATTGTCAGACCATGTGGAAACATATGTTATTTTTTCCATATATAGTTTGAAATATCAGTCGCCCAACATTTTTTTTTCTTCAGTTTTTTACTCTACTAATACTCGCCACTGCTTAGCTTGCTTCTACAAACAATTTCGCAACGTGAATGGTGATTATTATTTTTACATTATTAATCTTGGAATTGAAGCTTTGTTTTGTAATTTTATTGGGGTATGAAAGCGTTGACCGAATCATATTGTGCATGAAGTGCTCGCGCTTTAACTAAACCTGTGCGGCATTCAATTCTTATAATTACATATTTATGGTTTGACCATGAAATTACGAGTTATATCAAAGTTCTCGTTTGTTTTCCTTGGCAATGTTGTGACATTCAAGGGAAAAATGTGCTATCATGCATGTTGTATTTAAGGTAGATGAGGTGTCTAAATTATAATCCATAGATTTTTTTAATAATTTGCCAAAATGTAGTTTATATCATGCTTTTTTTAAAAAAAATAATAAAAAGAATGGGTTATGGGGCTTATTTTCACGCTACAGGTTGTGCAAAATTGACAGATTTTGTATAGATTATGCATGGAAAACCCAATTTTCTGCCATAAAACGAAAACTACACCATAGAATTTTGAAATAAAATATGAGAAGATAGCTCTAATATTATGCTTTCAGATAAGAAAAAGAAAAAAATGCGCTCACGGGACCCGTTTTCTTGCTACATAATAAAATAGGTAAATTCCTAACACATTCTATTGTAAAAGTAACTTTATCTGAATTATCTGCCCTTACATTTGAGTTGCCTCCCCTTATGTGGCAAAGTTAGAAAAAATTGAATCAAACAAAAGTATTCTGTTTTTTGTAAAATACAACCATAAATATGATAAAACATGTCATTTTCTATATTAAAATGAAAATTCTTACACATGAATTACCTACTACTCTCAAAATTTGCACATTTTCTTAAAGATCTAGACCGATTGTTTTCTGGTATTTCAAAATCCAAGATGGAGGAAGACACCCTATCTACCTTAATTGTGAAATAAATTTTAATTTTGAAATGCCTCTCGATTGTTGTCAGCAAATCAAAAGTATGGATTTTTGTGAATAAATGTGCAACAATAATGATGAGTCATGAAAGATCTATAGGAAACAATGGAAACATTTGTAGATGATGATTTTTGTCGTGAATTTAATGTAATTAAAATATCAATGTGGCATATTTTGCCAGATAAGCAACTCGGGATCTTTGAAACCTCTATAGTGTTTTTTTGCTAATTGAATAATAATGAGGAGGTGTAGTAGATTGCCAATCAGAAAAGTGTCCACCAGTGACCAAAAGATAATTTGACATGTGTCATTTTTAACTTTAATGAGTTGCAATTGACTTACTGTACGACTTTATCACTGGTTTAATGCGCATAACTACAATAACAATTATTGTTAATGCCAAGAGTATCAGGACGTAATTTGGGTGTAACAGCTACCAAGGCACATGTTAACTTAAAACCCAGTCCGCAATCATGTATATTAAATAATTGATATTGATTAATGTGCAGTAACAGTGATTACATGTACATGTTAACAGTGATTTGGTTTGTTTTATCAAAATTATTTCAATCATAAAATAAGGCCTCAACAAGTTTTGTTATGTTTCTACTACATTGTGCATATTTTTAGATTTGATTCTTGTAATTTTTGCTATTTATGCAAACGTAAGTGACAGCAAATGACAAAAATAGTAGTAATAATCTCAAACGATTGAAAGGGAGGTTATAGCTTGACCAATATGCTTGTTATTGCACTGGGTTACAATTCATGTCTTGGATACTGTAGTATCAATAGCTATCATGATTGCATGGAAGCATTTAGATCAGCAAATATGCATGGTTAAAATTGCAAATGATTTTCGATAATTTATATAATTAATTGCACCCTAGACCGAAAGTCGCACAAGGTTGAAATATAAATTTTGTTTTGGAAAAGTATACGTAATTTGGCGATATTTCGGGTTTTTATGAAATTTTGTATATTTTTATAATTCGTTGAACTGCATTTAGATATCGAAAAATGATATATCTAACATTAATACTTCCAGAGATACAGTTAATTAAAAATGTGTGATATAAGTATTTAAATGTATAGAATGTATGCTATGGTTTAAACATTTATGTTTGAACAAAATACAACTATTAGGGGTTACTGGATACTTTTCCATATACGTACATGTATATAAAAAGGAAAACATGTGGTAAGATTATCAATGAGACAACTACCTAGCAGAGAAAAAATGAAGTAGTAGTGAGTGGTTATGACAAACTTACAGTGTCATATTTATGATTTCAATACAATGTAACTATACCTTGATCTTACTAGTCGTGGACATTGATATTGTCTAATCACGTCGGATTTGATAACTTCGCAATTATAGTCTGAAAAAAATAATCCTTTTGTCATTGTAATTTATTTACATCTGCACTCGTGTTCAGTTAACTGTTCTTTAAAAGAGCAGTATGTGCATGATGAGTGTTGAGAGGCGAAAGATACCAAAAGGACATTCAAACTAATAAGACTAAAATAAACTGACAACGCCATGTGACAATAATAATGAAATGAATTTAACTAAAATAACCATCTTGCAATCTCAATGGTTAAAATTAAATTCCTGGTATCTATGATGAATGAACTTGAATTGTCGTTGATGATATTACTGGATGAAGAAAACGTCAGTTAAATTGTCATGACAAACTATTGCCAATATTGTTACTGACAGCGGCATCATATTCTGTAAACTGATATTGTAGAGTTCAGGGGCGGATCCAGGATTTTTGAAAGAGAGAGTGTAATTCCAAATAAGTGAAGACATAGAAAAACATTTTTGATGATTTAACATTAAAAATGAATGTATATCGTGAGAAAACATCCTTAAAAAAATTGGCGATCAAACGGGGGCGTACGACCTCTACATCTCCTGGATCCGCCATTGGACTTAACCCAAGTAGTTTGGTTCATTGCACGATTTGTTCGATGAAACGCATTCTTGTAGGAAATGAAGATTACACGTTACATAACGTTGTGTGTCCGAGGTGCTATTCATCAGGAACGCTCAAACCCGAATGCCAAGGATGTATAAATACCTGAAAACATAAGCAGCTATATGACCACAAATAGAATAGAACAATTAGTCAAAGGTCAACCTTTAATAATAAGCATGAATCTTTATTCAACGCCAACATGGACGAAAGAAAAAACACTTATGAATTTCATGTGTCCAAAGCAATTTTCTAGATTTACTTTCAACAGGAATGCTCTAACCCAAACATTTGAAAGCCAGAGATGTACAAATATGTAGAAACAGCCGGTTAACAAAAGATAATCTACAAAAATTAAAAGAGGCTTAGATAAATAATTATAATAAATTTTCTTGGACTTTCTAGGCAATAAAATGAACACAAGAGGAATGAAGTTTCCATTATACAGTATACAAAACACAACATAGAAAACTAAAGACTGAAGAACACGAACCCCATCAAAAACCGGGGTTGATCTCATGTGCTCTGAAAGGGTAAGCACATCCTGCTTCACGTGTGCCAGCCGTATAATAAGCTCAGACGTATAAACGTCATTTGATATATTTTACGTTTTTAAGGTCCAAGTGATGTCAAACTACGGAAGCCGATAAGGGTCATTCGAAAAAAAAACCCAATTATGTCGACTATGTTATAATTACGACATCGCTATTCCGTAATAACGACATAGCTATGTCGAAATGCGACATCCTTATGTCGTAATAACGACATCGCTATGTCGTAATAACGACATCACTATGTCGTAATTACGAGATGGTTTTATCGTAACCGCGTACGATATGACTTTGTCACATGCATACTGATTTCCGCAAATGGCAGGCAGTACTATGAAAGTGATGCACAAGTTAAAAAAACATTTAGAAAAAAATAATAATAATATTAATAATTATTTGTATTAGTATTATAACTATTGAACAGCAGTATACTACTGTTGCCTTTATTTATATTATTATAATAATTATTATTATTATTTTATTATTATTATTATTCGATATACTATTTTTATTTTTATTATTATTATTATTATTATTATTATTATTATTATTCGATTATTATTACTATTAAATGGAGGTGTGTCAATAATCATTCATTGCAAGAACGTGTACTGGTTGCCATTTCCGGAAGTCAATATACATGTGACAACGTCATAACTCGCACACAATAACTAAAAAATCTATCTCGTAATTACGACATATTATGTCGAAATAACGTTATTACGACATAACGATGTTGTTATTTAGACATAAGATTGTCATAATTACGACATATCGATGTCGTAATTACGACATATCGATGTGGTTATTACGACATAAGGATGTCGTTATTATGACATAATATGTCGTTATTACGACATGGCGAAAATTATTTTTTTCGAATGACCCTTATCGGCTTCCGTATCAAACATTACTATACATATTAGAATTAGACAAAAAAAAATTGATATTCTCAAGTGTTTTTTAATTTCTTTTGTTTTTGATTTTCTTGTATGTTTGTAAGCTGTTAAATTATTTTGTGCTTTTTCGATTCGATACTCTCAATTAATTTGCCTTTTCTTACATATAATATCTGGATTATACAAACATTTTAAATTATTTTCACTTTCTCAACATTATAGAAAATACAGTTTTTTATTACTGCACAAATAGCAACTATTGGCACATTTTTTTCAAAAAACGTTATTTTGTAGATGCAGTTTAGTTTACCTTTCAAAACGCTATTTATAGAACCTCTAAATACGTGTTATTCTGTTATTACAGCGAATGAAAAAGTCAAACTGGAAGTACAGTATAATAAAAAAATAGTCAATAACTTTAGTAACATTTTAAATTTACTAGACATGAATATGTTTAAAATATTCAAAATGTTGTGTACCTGGTGATAAAGCATGATCTTCATTACAGAATTTGAGGTAGCATGAACAATCTTCTTCATTTGGTTTGCAGTTACAAGGATCTTCTGGACGTATTAAATAAGAATATCCCTTTCTGTAATCACATCTGCAAGTAATATCTGTTGTTGTTGTTCCACTTCCACTTAATAAATGTTGACCCTCCGCGGTACAATTTGTTTTTTGGTAAATACATCTGTTTTCTTCATTTGTCCAATATGCAAATGGCTGGAATCTGCTTCCCGGGCATCGTTTTGCATTTAAAGCTTTTTGAAAAACCACATAACTTCCTATAACAAATAATGTAGATTTAGATTTCAATATATGCTTCTTCAGAGGAAGGTACTTTTGATACAAATCAGACACAAGTACAACTCTAAAAAAAAGTATGATTGTAATTATCGAATATTTGCTTGGAGCTTTAGCTATTAGCGCCAGCAAGTAATTGGCAAGATTGCTCACTTCATGTCACGTAATTTAATCGTCTCTGGGCTTTTCAGAAAAAATCTGAACAACTATTTGCCAAGCATTGGATCTTGGTCCAATTCTCTGATTTCGCATCACTGTCGAGCATTTAGACAGATTTGACCAGACATGCATTCATGGATATACAACTATTTTATATTTATCAAAAAATAATGACATAATCATAAGTGTTTAACCCTTGTCCATATTATGAGACATGAAGTTAGACAAGATTTGACCAGAAGTTAGACAAGATTTGACCAGATATTCTTCTTTCGTCCCAGTAAATGACATTTAACATTTTTGAACAACTATTTTCTATTAGGTATTGACTTCAATATAATGAAAGAAACTTTCTGCATTTAAGATTGACGATGGGGCGTTAAAATGGAACTACATAACACAACACTGAACCTGTAACCTCGACAAAATGGAAATTGAGATCTTATATAATAGGACTACTGCAATACTAGCTTCTGAATGAGGTAGGACATGTATATAAAGAATAATGCACGGTTAAAAAAAATTAATGAGCGCCTTACCTTCTCACTTGACCTCGGACAGTGGTTTAACAACTATACAAACTGAAAAAATTAGTTGGAATGGGCTTTACTCATCTGATCGTCATGAAACACAAAAAAAAACTAACAATAAAAGAACAGAGTTCCAATGTCCCCCACGATGCACATATTTTATATTTTCAAGGGGCATAACTCTTTTAAAAAAAGTCGATCGTCCATCATTATAGAACTTGTCCGAGATATTGCTGATATTAACCTATAGTATAAGTTTTATATTAATCTAGCAAGAATTGTACCCGTGAGAGCGCTAACGAGACCATTTTCCATAAATTTAATATTTCCAAGGGGCATTACTCTTTCAAAAAAGTCGATCGGCCACCAATATAGAACTTGTCCGAGATATTGCTGATATTAACCTATGGTATATGTTTAATAAAAATCTGGCAAGAATTGTACCCGTGAGAGCGCTAACGAGGCCATTTTCCATAGATTTAATATTTCCAAGGGGCATACCTCTTTTAAAAGAAGTCGATCGGCCACCATTATAGAACTTGTCCGAGGTATTGCTGATATTAACCTATAGAATAAGTTTTATAAAAATCTGGCAACAATTGTAACTGTGAGAGCGCTTACAAAATCGGACGGACGGACGGACACACGGACGCAGGGACGGACGGACGGACGCCCGGTATTTCCAAGTCCCCGGCAACGCGCTATGCGATGGACAAAAAAAAAGACACAAAGCACCGACCTAAGAGACTAGCAGCTCAATACAACTAACAAAAGACAGACTAAAATATCAAACAGTACATAAACAGTCTGATCCGAAAAGAATGACCTTGTGCAATGCCAAAATTGTGTATCGATATGATATGGCCAAAAAGACTTAGTGTTCATTACTGTATAACTCTACCTTTTAATATGAGCTATGTTTAAATTATTGAAAACTAAATCAATGTTAGTAAGTATAACTCTTGATTTTTATATAGCATAGAATCGACCATCTTATAGCTGGAACTACTCGAAATGTTTTTTTATTTCTCTTCTTCGTTGAAAACTTTGGTACTTGATTTTTGTAATATTTTTATAAATTTGTTCAAGATCATTCTAGACTTCGAAAATCAACAAGATTTATATATTATATGTTTTGCATTATATATATAATGGCATATGGCATTACAATCGTTTTTTAATCGTAAATGTTACAATTTCTATGTATAACACACATTCTTACAATATAAATACATACAATCATAATAAGATAGACAGAAAAAAAATAAACAAAGAATAATTCGAACAACTCTTCCAAACTATTATTGTAACGAATCACAAACCGCCATTTCTCATTTTCAATTCACGAAATAAATATTTTCCAATGTTACACTTTGCATTAAAAAAAGAACACTTGTTATAATTATTACGCAGATGGCATTTTCCAAAAATAAGGTTGATGAATTTCGTAATTTTAAATGATTGTTCATTTCGTCCTCTAGTTCATCAGTTCATATTTTGAACATTTTACAATCTCTGTTAACGTATTAATAATTGCCTTGCTCGATGGCAAGACTGCGAGAAGATATGCATGGACATTTCTTTTTAATGATTTTATGTAATCTATGTTGACCTAAAGATGCATTTTATGGTTTGATTGAGTTGTTTATCTTATATGTCATACAGACGTCTACTAGCTGTTTTGAATTTTACTAATTTCAACTAAAATATGGCCGTGTTATATCTATATAAAACGAGAATTGAAGGAAATAATTTTATGAACCTTACATCTTGTGACTTATAAATAATAGGCGGAATAAATGTTGTGGAGACACAACAAGCTTTTTTTCAACATTTTTAATTTACTATGTGAAGCTACTACAACAGTTTTTTGCTTCCCTGTTCCTTATCAATTATTAATTTTTGTTTGTTAAGGTGTAATACCACCATTGATTTTCCCCTATTAGTCTTTGTTAAATTTGCACTTTTCAAAAAATTGTACAGAATTTATCTTTGTTTCAAATAAAGAAATACTTGGCATGAGTAAAGTTTGATCCTGTCCAGTACTATAGAAAAAATTTCACATAACATTTCATTGCATATAAGAAAATAACCATCACTGGAAGTTAACCAATCAAATTTTCCCCCTTTTTTAACCTGTATACAAGCTTTAGTAACCATGTAACCTCAAGTTTCCAAAATATTCTATAGAAACCCCAAATAAAAAAATAATGGTGCTTTGAAATACCCAAGATATATGTTTATGACCCAGAAATGTTTTACTGCAATGAAATGTAGGATCAATTACCTACAACTGTCAAATTCAAGGGAATATTTTTTTTCGACCTATTTTCGTATGCAACCGGATGTGACGTACTATGATTTGGTGGTATTACACCTAAAGAAGACTTTTTTGTTAAATAAACTTAATGTGACTTTTTTCCTTTGTTATACTGGTTATTTCAAGCATTCCTGTCAAGTTTTGTCATAATCAGTTCAATAGTTTGAGAAAAATCTAGTATAATGTAAGACGACATCTGCAGCGATTCGAGCTAAATTTCTTCGAAAAATCCAAACCAAGCCGCATCATGATAGAATATAGTGTGGACCAATAAATGATCAAATATTTATCTCATCTGCCTACAAACAGTTGAATATGATACAAAAGATGACTTTAGGATGATAAATACTACCAATGGACCTCTTTGTCTTCCTTATAAGGTCTCTTTTGGTCCATTTATACCTCTCATTTCCTCAAAATTTCTACTTTATAGGCCAATAAATAAAAATTTTGGGGTAACTTTCACTCATTTATGATAGAAATGTTATAATAAATGATTAATTGAAGTATTTAAGCTGAATGAACTATCCGTATAAAAGTTTACTGTCTCCAAGGAGGTTTCAATAAGTCCTTACGTAAAACTTAAATTTACGCCGCGTTCAAGAGAGGGACATAAAAAGCTTCTCTTTTGGTGAATAATTTGTTGTTACTGCTTTAAAAATAATTTCATTTACTTAAAACTATATATTTATTAAAGTATTTCTTAGGAAAAATTTTCTAGTATAGCAGAATATAAGAAAAAAGGAGAAAAAGCTCCCCAAAACTCTAAGTATGGCTTATTCTGTCAACTAATATTCATGGTAAAGTCCTATTTCAAGGAAATTTTCTCATAAAATGTGTTTTGGAGACTCAATCCACTCAGAATATTTCATTATTAGTAATATTTCACTTAAATAGCAAGAAATTTTAACACATGAGAGTACTCACAAGGTCAAAGGTGCATGTTCAGCTTCCCATATTAGGTGTAATACCACCATTGATTTTCCCCTATTAGTCTTTGTTAAATTTGCACTTTTCAAAAAATTGTACAGAATTTATCTTTGTTTCAAATAAAGAAATACTTGGCATGAGTAAAGTTTGATCCTGTCCAGTACTATAGAAAAAATTTCACATAACATTTCATTGCATATAAGAAAATAACCATCACTGGAAGTTAACCAATCAAATTTTCCCCCTTTTTTAACCTGTATACAAGCTTTAGTAACCATGTAACCTCAAGTTTCCAAAATATTCTATAGAAACCCCAAATAAAAAAATAATGGTGCTTTGAAATACCCAAGATATATGTTTATGACCCAGAAATGTTTTACTGCAATGAAATGTAGGATCAATTACCTACAACTGTCAAATTCAAGGGAATATTTTTTTTCGACCTATTTTCGTATGCAACCGGATGTGACGTACTATGATTTGGTGGTATTACACCTTAAGGGACCTAAATACACAAAAATAATAAAATAAAGGAAGGTAAAACACGAATTTGGGAATACCTTAAGAGCTTCATAAGAAGTTTATCGGCACATCGATTCATATAGGTGACAATATTGACATATTGTTAAGATATTGGCTTATTTTTCAGGCCATATCTTTTCTGCCTTTTTTGTTTCGTTTAATTGATGTCTCCTCGATATTTTTATCCCTCGTCTCCTTTGTCCACATGCATGGCGGAATTTATGTCTAAAGGTTACACTGAACTATTTGAAAAATTACATTTTCATATTTTTCTTGATATGAGCAACTAAGACCAATGTCACATGTAGAGCAGGAAATGTTGACCCCCTCCTAAGTACCCTAGATCATGGGGTACGTTTTGGTCTAACTGTTGTTATATGAATAATTGCGTGTGTTTTTATAGGCGTTAACGTAAAAATCAATGGACCAATCCTTCAATTTAAATTTGACTACGACATGCACAATTTTCCGTCGTATTTTAATCTATCAAAATGTGCACATTCATGGTTCTACAATCCGTCGATACCTATATTTTGGCCTTACACAAGATAATGTTTTTCTCTGACTATTAATGACGTATTTACATTAAATCCACTGGATGTTGGATGTGTACTGATTGTTAATTTAGTCTTAGATACATCCTTTTTTTTATTAGTTGTTATTGTTTGAACTAGCTGTCAGTAAGTGCGAGTACTCTTCGATCTGTACTTTATATAGATATAAGAAGATGTGTTATGAGTGCCAATGAGACAACTCTCCATCCAAGTCAAAATTTATAAAAGTAAACCATTATAGGTCAAAGTGCGGTCTTCAACACGGAGCCTTGGCTCACACCGAACAGCAAGCTATAAAGGGCCCCAAAAATTACTAGTGTAAAACCATTCAAACGGGAAAACCAACGGTCTAATCTAATATAAAAAACGAGAAACGAGAAACACTTATGAACCACATCAACAAACGACAACTACTGAACATCAGATTCCTGACTTATGACAGGTGCAAACAATTGCAGCGGGTTTAAACGTTTTAATGGTACCAAACCTTCACCCTTATCTAAAACAATAATGTAACATCACAACGTAGAAAGACACACTATAAAATATCAATTGAAATGGCTTAACTCAATCAAAAGACATATTAACACCAGTGAACATAAACTGAACAAATAAATTCGATATATGATACAATGTAAATACAAAATAAATAAACTAAGGGAAGAATAATTAAAGTAACATGTTATACCGCTGTGAAATGATAAACAATTTTAAGAAAAACAATATGCTTGAACAAAAATATCAGCCATTTGCAATTACTCTAAACACAGGTAAATGAAAATGATTGTGTTGTTAGGTATACGTGTACAGTTCAAATAGAGAATGGAAATATTTTTACAAAAAAAATAATTTTGATGTTCATAGTACGAAGAAGTGAAAATTTATAGTAATACCAAGCACTTTATGTCTTTTTCGTTGTGAGGAATGTATAAATTCCCTGTCACTTCCGGTCTGTCTTTTTGTTAGACGCTTTCTGTTCTGTATCGATCTGACAAGTTAAGCCCTTTTCAACTGATTTAATAGTTGGTTCTTATATTGTACTGTTTCACCACTGTTCCAGGTTAGGGGAGGTTTGTCGCCAGCAAACATGTTTAACCCCGCCATATTATTCAGTCAGGAGCTTGTAGTTCAGTGGTTGTCGTTGGTTCATGTCTGTCATATTTGTTATTCGTAAATTGTTTTGTTATAAATTAGGCCGTTAGTTTTCTCCATTGAATTGTTTCATATTTTTCTTGTCAGGGCCTTTATAGCCGACTATACGGTATGGGGTTTTCTCATTGTTGAAGGCTGTACGGTTGTCTATAAATGCTTACATCTACTTCATTTGAACTTTGGTGGATAGTTGTCTCATTGTCAATCATACCACATCTCCTTATTTTATATTGTTATACAATTTAAATATATACGAGCAAAGTATATTTATTTCGCCTCATGATAAATGTGTACGTGACTTTGTTTAAATATGTATCGTATATTTACGTCAAATGTAGCATTTTGTACTTTGCGATTTTATTTTACTGCTTGTGGCTTATTGGCTGAACAAGCAAAACATTTTAAAACACGTCTGGGCGACGTCAGATGAAAACGTATCGATGAAATATATTTTTTCGCAGGTTTTACGAAATGGATGCGTATATATGTGCAGTAGATATATATTTCAATAGTACACATAGAATGTAATGAAACATTTTTTTCAATTAGTGTAAACATATTTTATTAATCAAATTCAAGTTAAATAATGAACACAATTTGACAATAATATACAACTGAAAAATTAATAGGATCCGGAAACATGCTGTTAACTCATATTTATCCGTTTCCTAATACAAATAAGAACATACATATGTGTAATACTCAAGAAGTAGGATGTATAAAATTAAATAATGTTACACTAAATGGAAAACAAACAAAACATACAATAGGGTTGTGAACACAAGAAGAGAAAAAACAATCAGATACATCAGAAATACAATAGTAAAGTGCATAATGTTAGATATACATATTCACTGTAGTCCTGTTGAACAAGATGTTTGTAATCATATGACAAATCGTTTGCAACTGGTAATGAATGTTTGAACTGCCAAGAATATTTTGATGTTTTGTATGTAGCTGAATTCCGTTGAACCGTATAGCAAAATTTCGTCTGATAAGAAATGTATGAATCTGATGTTACAGAAGTGCTGTTCATGTGTGATGTGACATCGGGGGCAGTGCAAGAAGTAATGCGCTGTTGTTTCTATAACACCACATAAACAAAGGGGTGAGGCCACTATGTTTTTTTACAAAAGAATGCTGATTTAGAGAACTGCATTGCAAACGAAGCCCTGAGTGATAAATTTGACCTAATCGCTTACCAATGTAATAATGATTTGACGGTTTAGTTACCCGAAACTGGACACAATTCCTGAAAGCTCCCGCTCAAAAACTATTTTTAGTATTCTCAGGGAGGAGATTCCATAAACGTACAATTGGTTGCAAGTTTTAACAATCCTGTGTATTATGAAATATAGATCGTGTGCTTATCACCAAAACAGTCACGCGAACTTGGATACGTGCATAAACACGATATTCTTATTCCTAGTCCTGCAACAATTTCTTAAATTATTAGCGAACAGTCTGAAATGATAATTTTCTATTCTGTTCATAAACAAAAGCAATCAAATTTACCTGGTGTGTAATACTCTGGAGGTACACAAATTTCAATATATGCATCATTAAGGCCGTCCCATAGACAATGATACGATCTAGGATCATCGGGGCATTTCTGTGTTGCATAAGACGTGTTCAACGCAGGCGAGGGACACTCACAGTTAACATAGTAAACCACAGTCTGTCGAAAGAAAAAAAAACAGTATTCACAAATTGCACACCGTGTTTGTTTACAACAGCAGGTGAAATAAAGAGTTGAGAGCAAATACTAAATCGCCAAAATGCCTATGCAATATCTCAAAACATGAAACTATGGATTTAGACAAAAATTCTGCATTAGGCAAAACACCATTAGCATGTTTATAATGTGGCTATGCAGTTAGCCACTGTGACAACAAGTAAATCGATATCCTAAGCGACATCTCACGAGAAGTCACGAGACCTTTAGATTTAAATCATATTTCGAGCTGCAGTCATCGAGGACAGACGTGCCTCTGTCCTCCCTTTAAAGCTATTTTCCCGGGCTCGTGCAAAACGTGCTTTATTTTATATACGAAAGATATCCGAGTTCATTTATCGGTTCAATGTAAGTATATTTTATTTTATTTGTATGGTTAATATAATTTTAGGCAGATGGTGTCGTCTGCATTTTCATTTATTTAATTCTGTTATGGGAACGGATGGTGTCGTCCGTCGGAATTTTTTAAAAGGACAGTGGTCCTAGCAGATGGTCTGCATTGTTTATTTATGTTATTCTGTTATGGGAACGGATGGTGTCGTCCGTCGGAATTTTTTTTAAAAGGACAGTGGTCCTAGCAGATGGTCTGCATTGTTTATTTATGTTATTCTGTTATGGGAACGGATGGTGTCGTCCGTCGGAATTTTTTAAAGGACGGTGGTCTATTTAGCAGATGGTCTGCATTTTTATTTGTTTTATTCTGTTGTGGGAACGGATGGTGTCGTCCGTCGGAATTTTTTAAGGACGGTGTCCTATTTATTTGAACGCACATTTGTTGTCTTGTTATTTAGGATGGTGATCCTTTTTTATTTGAGAACAGACATGTGTTGTCTTTTGATTATAGGATGCTGGTCATATAGATTAATTTTATCATAGTGGTCTCTTTACTTAAGAGAGCGAACTTAGTTTGTCGTGTTTAATTTAAGGATTATCGTCTAATTTTCATTGATTGTTTTTGACGATGTCGTCATATTCTTCGAAACAAGGGGTGATTTTTGGTTATATGTAATCGGCTGGTTGATTTTATTTAGTTGAAATCCTTTATAATTTTAGAGAATTTTTTACTGAGATGAGGTACCTGTTTCGCCGGTTTTCCGCCTTTTACTTCGTCCGTGCGTTTAAGGTTTTTCTCTTTATTTATTCCCTATTTAGTCAGGATGAATTATGATTTTATTATGTGATTTGAAGATATAACATTTGATATGCTATATGATGTGTACGATTTGAGAAGTTTACCTATTTAGCATATTTCAGTCACAATGAATAAACATGTTTCGTCAGTTGATTGACCTAGATAGGTCAATATTGATTTTATTGCATTGATTGAACAGGTGAACTTTCTGTGAAACATTTATAAAGTGTAAAGGTAATTACGCAAGTTTGTTGTTAAATTTAAGGTGCGCTCGATAGCTAATGATGTTCATGAATGAGTTTTATTTTTGTTTTGCGGTATTTAGATAGAAGAATAACTACCACCTATTCTTAATTTTTATAAAACGAATTCAGCCTCTCGTTTGTGGGCTCCATATAGAACATGTTATTTTATTTTATTTGAGGTAATTATTATCAATTTTGATAATAGGTGCTATCGGTATACTTTGACAAGTGTCACGTGACGGGTGGTATTGAAATGATTGGATCAATGTCAATAACTTATAAAATTAAAGGCATATAGGGTAGATGTGCATGTAACAAAACCTGCAATCGATTTGACGAAAAAAAGTCAGAAGTTTTTCTGTCTAGTACGTTTTTGTGTACTTCTTAATTTATCATAACCAAATTGTATGTTTTACTATTTTTAAACGATTTCGAACTTGTAGAAAGATGTTTACTGAGAAACTACATTGTAGTGCACTTGATATTTTGAGTTTGTACGCAAATTTATTTTAAAAGGTTGGCAGATAATCAATATTTTGAATAGTAAATTCTCATCAGAGTTGATTGAAATGAAAATTGGGAAAATTTCATGCTCACAAAAATAATCTTTATGTCAATGGAGTACACTTAGCCGAAATGCAATATATTGGGTAATAATTGTAAGATTATTAGCTTTTAGTGTTTAATATTGGTATAATTATTAGTTATCTTAGTTAGTAGAATGTAAAATTTGATATGAATCTTTCAGGTGCATCGAGATCTGCTGCATCTACTACTAGACCTGTTACACCAATGGCTGGTGTCCAGGGGCCACAAATTCCAAAAACCCCGGTTAGTATTTCTAACTCCACTAAAACTAGTTTTGATCTTGAGGGAAGACTTCGGAAAATGGAAAACAGTTTTTGACAATTTGAAAAATCAGCAAATTTCGGATAAAGTTACAGAAGCATTAAAAAGTGTTAGAGCTTTGGTCGGGAGGCCAAAGTTGACGCCACCAAGCGTTCTTATAGCTGCATTAGAGTTTTTGGTTGAGTGTGCTAATAAAGCAAGTCACCCAGAGGGTGATTTCTTTAGTAAGGCCTTGCAGGCTTGTAGACAATTTGAAAATCTTGATGTCATTTCTAATTTGTGTTTAAAATTGCTTGGTTCTTCAGAAGATAAAAAGATTTCAGCTACTATTGCTGAATGGCAAAAGAATGCTAGGAAAAATGAGAAAACTGAAGAGAAGGTTGATAGCAAGGGTTGTAACCAAATGCCTATTCAAAGTGTGTCGGGTCCATCAGCTTTTCCATATCCTTGTCCAGCGTTCCCTTATAATCCGTTCCCTGTAGGTTATGGTAATCCTGTAGGTTATGGTAATGGTTTTCCCGGTACATGGTCCCGCTGCTCCACCTTTCAGTGATTCAAGTATGATGCGAAACCCAGGTTTTCGCCCTAGATTCCAAAGGAGAACTAAGGGCGCTTGTTTCTTCTGTAAGGAGAATGGTCATCACGTGAACTCGTGACCGAAGTTGAAGAAGGAGTAGTTAAAATGTTTGCATTAAGTTTTTTCTGGATTACCTGAAAGTTTTTCCGTTAAAATTTCGTAAAGTTTCAAAGTTTTCTGGCTTTCATTCCATTGGAATCTTACGGAAGCCGATAAGGGCCATTCAAAAAAAAAATTTATGTCGTAACTACGACATAACATGTCGTAATTACGACATAACATGTCGTAATAACGACATCACTATGTAGTAATTTCGACATAACATGTCGTTATAACGACATCGCTATGTCGTAATTTCGACATAACAAGTCGTAATTACGACATCACTATGTCGTAATTTCGACATAACATGTCGTTATAACGACATCGCTATGTCGTAATTTCGACATAACAAGTCGTAATTACGACATCACTATGTCGTAATTACGACATAGCTATGTCGTAATAACGACATCGCTATATATATAAAAGAATATGTATTATGATTGCCAAGAGACTAAATGACACAGAAATAAACAACTATAGGTCATCATAATGCCCTCAATAATGAGAAAAGCCCCCGCATAGTCAGCTATAAAAGAGGGACGAAAGATACCTGAGGGAGAGTCCCCGAAATGACAGCTGTTTAACAATTTAATTCAAACGAGTGAAAATAACGGTTTTAATAATGTACAAACAAAGACTGAAAAACGAATATGTAACACAGCAACAAATGACAACCACTGAATTACGAACTCCTGACCGCTATCTGATAATAACGGCAACCTTATAGTTAAACTTTCCACTTTTTGAAGCGATATGAATTTCAAAATGGTCGCCAGTAAAGGCAAAGTTTGTATCGTAAACAAATTCATTTTTTTTTGAGAATATTGAACACTTTATGCAATCAAGCTTAATTAAAGTTATTCACTAGCACCTCAGACTTGCACATACTAGAACTTTATTTATAATCAAGTCAAATGAGACCCAGTTGAATAGGGGAGCAATTCAAGCTCCCTGGAGCCTCTAATTATGTTTGGCATTGCAGGTTCTGAATAAGATGAATTTTAAGCTTTTCCCAATAAAGACTATGTTAAACTTTGGACTAGTGCTCAGACCCACGGATCTCTGTACCTTCATTTGTACACACTTGAATCTTATTGTACTACTGAGGCTTGATGCAAATTATAACTGCATTGCTATTGTTGGTTCTTAATGAGATTCTTCAAGCGTCCTCCCCATTGAAGCCCTATTAAAACTTTGTACCCCAAGTTCTTTTAACCACTGTTCCCCAGGACAACTATTCCTACAAACTTAGAGGGAGGGTTGGGATCCCGCTAACATGTTTAACCCCGCCACATTCTTAATGTATGTGTCTGTCCCAAGTCTTTAATTTACATATTTGTTTTTCGTTTATTTTTGTACATAAAATAGGCCGCTAGTTTTTCTGGTTTGAATTGTATTACATTTGTCATTTCGGGGCCTTTTATAGCTGACTATGCGGTATGGGCTGTGATCATTGTTGAAGGCCGTACGGTGACCTATAATTGTTAATTTCTGTGTCATTTGGTTTCTTGTGGAGAGTTGCGTTTTTGAACAAACCAGCGTATCCCAAAGCCTTGATAACCTCTGTAGGCCCCAAATAAGACGAAAAAACATCAAAATTGGAGAGAAAACTGAAAATAAATGGTTTCTAACCTCAGGGATATTAACCCTTGGCATGCTGAATTGTTATCAGAAATTGTCTAAATTTCGAGTATTTGTAAAAATATGCAAATGATATGCAAATGAGCTGTACCCTGATGCTGATGCATACTGATTGCATTAAATCTAAGATAGCCAAGGGTTAATATCCCTGAGGTTAGAAACCATTTATTTTCAGTTTTCTCTCCAATTTTGATGTTTTTTTCGTCTTATTTGGGGCCTACAGAGGTTATCAAGGCCTTGGCATACGCTGGTTTGTTCAAAAACGCAACTCTCAACAAGAAACCAAATGACACAGAAATTTACAATTAAAGTCACCGTACGGCCTTCAACAATGATCACAGCCCATACTGCATAGTCAGCTATAAAAGACCCTGAAATGACAAATGTAATACAA